CGTACACTCCCCTTTGATGAATTACATGTGATTCTAACACTTGGTCCAAGTGTTTCCTAGTTCCTAAGAGTGTTTCCTTGCATGTAGTTACTTCTAAACACTATATTCATGCCAATATATGCCATTATATGTCAGTTACGATTCGTTTGTGTCTCGGGACTTCATTCGTAGAACTTCTCATCCTTCACGAATCCTGCAATTGAATCACCCACATAAGGTGAGTTCATACCCGTATAATCAATCTTTTAAACTGATTTAAATGCTTTTAAAGGGGGGGGGGGGGATACAAGTTGAACACAATGATAATTGTGTAAATGTTTTGCTATAAACATCTTTTAAAGGATTGCTTATGCATTTATAAGTTATCAAAACATTTCAAAAACTCTTTTAAAGTTATGTTACTTTACAGTTTACAAAACTCTGTTTTTAAAGTGCAAACATAACTTAGTAGATAAAATGAGTCTTTTCTTCAAGTCAATAACAGTTCAAAGTAAACATACTAGTAAACTATAATAGGTATAGTTTAGAGTTTCAGTTCACACTAGACAGTAGAACAGAGAGAACATACTATAAAGAGAAACAAGGAGGAAGATACAATACACGATAACAGAAGGAACATACTAAGATACTATAACAGAAAGAGCACACTAAGATACTATAACAGAAGAACAAACCAGGATCTAATTATACCAATGATCACTAACTCATTGTTTTAAACAAAAGGTGATAATAAATTGGGTATACATGATCATATAACTTTAATGTGAGACTATTTCACGACTTAGCAATTTGTTTGCTGAACTTGCGTTTTGTAACCAGAATCTCTTGGAGGGAGAGCGTATAGTATGGGTACAACCACATCACATTATGACCTTAATAAAACAAACTAAATTAAGGTAATCAGTACTTCAGTTTGAAAGACAACTGAAAACGTACATCAATACAATCGACAAAAAGAACAGTCAAGTCATAGTACATTCAGGAGATGGGGGCCTATAATGCTAACCTTATGATTCCTTAGTTTATACATCAGACATATATATTAATCGGATCCGACACGTAGTAGGATGTGTGTTTTCCGCTTCATTTCCTGTTCCTTGTTTGGTTGTGGGCTTAGAGCAAATTCACCCAGCCTACTATCTATCCGATCTTAGATATATATATATATATATATATATATATATATATATATATATATATATATTCCGTATACACTAAGTAATCATAAGGAGTACCAGGTATGGGTCAGGTCATAGTATAATAATTCAATACACCGTTTTCTAGTACAAAAACATATTTTTCAAGTAGAACATTCGGTAGACAAAACTAGAAACTTACCAGTAAAAGGGTTTAATCCATTTTATTAAACCAGTATAACTCAAAGGACCTTAGGTGGTTAATTCTATAATACTTTAGTTTATACATCAGGGTTATATATAATTAATACCCGATAGGTAGTTGGATGTGTGCTTTCCGCCTTACTTCCTGTTCCTTGTTTGTTTGTGGGCTTAAGGCAGATTCACACAATTAACTATCCGTTCGATATTAGATTATATATAGCTGGTATAAACTAAGTGATTATAGAAGGAACTATTGTGGTTACTAATTTATTAAAGGAAACAAGGGTTTAATCCATTTTATTAAACCAGTATAACTCAAAGGACCTTAGGTGGTTAATTCTATAATACCTTAGTTTATACATTAGGGTTATATATAATTAATACCCGAAGGTAGTTGGATGTGTGCTTTCCGCCTTACTTTCTGTTCCTTGTTTGGTTGTGGGCTTAAGGCAGATTCACACAATTAACTATCCGTTCGATATTAGATTATATATAGCTGGTATAAACTAATTGATTATAGAAGGAACTATTGCGGTTACTATTTTACTAAAGGAAACAAGGGTTTAATCCATTTTATTAAACCAGTATAACTCAAAGGAGCTTAGGTGGTTAATTCTATAATACTTTAGTTTATACATCAGGATTATATATAATTAATACCCGATAGGTAGTTGGATGTGTGCTTTCCGCCTTACTTCATGTTCCTTGTTTGGTTGTGGGCTTAGGGCAGATTCACACAATTAACTATTCGTTCGATATTAGATTATATATAGCTTGTAAAAACTAAGTGATTATAGAAGGAACTATTGTGGTTACTATTTTTACTAAAAGAAATAAGGGTTTTCTTAAAGAATGTTTTCATCAAATACAAAGGAACTATTACAGTTAACTTCGTGAGTACCAAGTGAATACGCCAGGGTTATATAAAACGATGATCTAACAAACAATGGGATGTGTGCCTTCCGCCTCATTTCCTATTCCTTGTTTGGTTGTGGGCTTAGGGCAGATACACACAATCGATTGTTTGTTTACTTTGGGTTTTATATAACTTGTATCCATTTAGTACTCATAGAAAGGATTGTAGAGTCATTTTACTTATCTTTCATCAAAGCAGGAAATATAGGATTTCCTGGAGGAACAGGCGAACTTTTCTAAAAGAACTTTCAACTTACTTACATCACTAAAATCTTATGAACTCACCAGCTTAAATGTTGATCTACGCTTTCAAAATAACTTGTACTCTCAGGAAACCAGTAGACAGGTACGCACACTGGGATTCAGAAGATGGAGCATAATAGCTTCATGTCTTTGTTTTGTTATTTACTTTGCATTCTATGTTGTGTGAACCACATACTTTGTAAACACTTTCTTTCTAATGAAATGGTTGTTTATTACTTTGATTACTATGATGCATGTCTTTTGATACTAAACATGACGTCCTCCACTCCCGAACGTTTCCGTCGTTCCGGTTTGGGGGTGTGACACTAGTAGAGTCTTGTTTATCCGGTTGTCGAACATCATTGGTTAGCCAATTATTCTAAATACATACTATGCATTTTACTCTCAAAATGCATGATCATCTCTTTTCTTTTAGTGACTCAATCACTTTCAAATATCATGCCCTTTGTAGAGTAAAATGTCAATTTGCATAATATAAACAATTACCATATCAAAACATTAAAATAAAACTTATAGCATACTTTAACTCTCCAAATCGTAATAAACTAATACTTACTCTTTTAAAAGAGTTCATTTTATCAAACATATGAATATCATGCCATGCACCCCAATGGAAAAAATCTACATGTACTCACCTTGTTAGTTAGTGTAAATCACCCTTAGTTTCTCTAGGTCGGTGTATGATGAAACATACCGTTTTAACACAAGATATACGAGCTTTTCTGGAGTTCGACCATGTTACACGTTCATGCTTAAATTACACTATCATGTTTTTTCCCAAAAGTTCCATAAATAACACTCTGTTTCATTAAATTTGAGGTTTTGTGGAATGGTTATACAACCGTTTTCCCTCATTTTTTTTATTTAGACAATGTACTTTATCCTAAACATGTTCCTTTGCTTTAAAGGTCTGTAACTTTTTCATACAAACTTGAATTTCAATGAATTTTATATCTACGGACTCGTAATAAAGTCAACTAAATACATATTTCGACTCTTTATTTAAACTTTTAGGGTTATTACTATATATATATATATATATATATATATTATATATATATATTATATATTATATATATATATATATATATATATTGTTCGTGTTCGTGTTCAAGATTCAAAACATGAAATTGACACGATATTAAAATCTATTTGTCGTGTTTTTCGTATTCAACGTGTTTGTTGTGTGTTCTGAAATTAATTTTGAAATAAATAAACTAAAAGTTTATTTAATTTTATCTATTTCGTGCTTATCGTTTTGGTCGTTTTTATCTTGTTTTAAATTGATATTTTCAGTAAAAGTAATACACAACATAATATCATGTCGTGTTTTATTATATAAATTATAATATTAACTAAAAACACGATAAGACCCCTATTTGTCACCCCTAAATAAAAAATGTGGGTTATTTATTTATTTTTTTAAAGCATTGTAAATTTTGAGTAAAAATGATCAAGTCGTGTCTTCTCCATATTTCAATTTAAAACTCATAAAAAGAACAAAGTGTTCAACTAAAATTCATGAATATAGAAAGATTCAAAGCACAAACCAAAACAAGCCACCTAATCTAAGACCGGTGAGCGGAATGGTCCCACCCTCGAACCACGGCAAACGTTTCATAATCTTGACTTCACACTTCATCATGGGTCAACTTCCCCATACACCTCTCTTTTCAACTTTCGATCACCTTCCACCACCACTATATATATATATATATATAGATATATATATATATATATATATATATATATATATATAATATTACAACTTTTTTTTGTTATTACATATAAATAAATAACAAGTATTATTTTAATATTAAATAAAATTAGACAAATTTTATTTACATATAAATAAAGATAGTGAATGTGACACGTACTTTATCTGATGTGAATAAAAGGTAAATATAAATATTATGTATGACAGACTTAAAAAAAATCATATGTATATTTTATAAAATATATTAATTTGAAGGTCTATTTATTAATTATTAAGGATGAATATTATGTGATTTTTATATATTCAACTTCTTTTGATAACTTAATTGTGAATAATTAATGTTTGGGATTTATTCTAGCATTTTTATCTTTGTTTACTCTTATTTGAACATTTCCATATATTATGGAATAATAATAATAATAATAATAATAATAATAATAATAATAATATATACGCATTCCGTAAGTATCGTGTATAATAACATACCATAAATATCATGTATACTAACATACCATAATTCAACTATCAAATTGCAAAAAGAATAATAATTTATTTTCATGCATTCCGAAAACATTGTATCTATACTAAAAGCATACCATAATCAAGATATTTTATATTATTATCCAGAAAATTCAACGTTTTAATGTATTTTCTAGAAGTAATTTTTGGGATTTATTTATTAATAAATGCAAACGAGTTTGTATATGCATATAACACGGAGAAGGCGCTCTTTCTCCGCTACTTCTTAAACTTTCCTATATATACAAACACCCATTTGGCTATTCCTATAAATCACATTCCACAAACCTAGCTAATACATTCAGAGAGAGAAACTCACGAAGTGTTTTAGACTTTAGAGAGAGAAACGGGGCGACCTGAGATTCTTAGTTTGAAGAACACAAAAATGGCTGGATCAATGAAGTCGAGTATGGTTATGTTGATGGTGATGATGGTCGCTTCCATGCAGATGCAAAGCTCCATTGCTCAGACAAGACATGTCGTCGGAGACGCCTTGGGCTGGACCATTCCTCAAAACGGCGCCGCCGCTTACACAACCTGGGCTTCCCAACAGAACTTCACCGTCGGCGACTCTCTTGGTACGTAATTCAAACCGCCGTCCACCGCCGCTTCCACGGCCACAAACACTTTTAGAAACTGTGTTTTATTAGTTTTATTCGTTGATTAAAAATTGGAATATATTATTTAATAGGATTATGAATAAATGGAAAAACATGTCACATGCAAACAAACCTACTCCGTCAATTACTTTGAAAGCAATAAAGAACAATAATGCGATTACTTTTATTTTATTTTATGTGATATATTTAATTAATTTAATTGACTTTAGTGGTAGGAATTTGACTAATTATAGCTATTTATATATTTTATTGGATTAATTAATCTTTTTTTTTCGGTTGCAGTTTTTAACTTCACCACCGGTGCGCACAACGTGGCGGAAGTATCACAAGCGGCATATGGCCCATGCACCACCACCAACCCGATTTCCATCACCACCACCGGCCCTGCCACCCTCACCTTGACAACTCCAGGCAGCCACTACTACGTTTGCACCGTCGGATCACATTGCCAAATTGGTCAGAAGTTGACCGTCAACGTAGCTGCTGCAGCCGCCGCACCTACCACCCCACCACCAGCACCAACACCCACCACTCCTCCTCCAGCAGCCACCCCCACGCCCACCCCCACACCAACACCGTCACCGGTTTCTCCACCAACCACCAGCCCAACCCCAGCCCCCGGCCCTTCCACCACCACCACACCACCTACCTCTTCTCCCGCACCTTCTCCGGTTGGAGCCAGCCCACCATCACCTTCTTCATCCAGCCCATCTCCTACAGGCAGCACCACCCCATCTCCTGCCGGTGACTCCACTCCTCCTCCACCAGCACCTAGCAACGCTGCATCTTTGATGGCTGCGGTGCCGGTCACTTTTTTGGCCGTTGCTTTAACTTTCTTTTACTAGAGTAATCATATTTTTTTTTTATTATCTTGATCATTAGTTTGAGCGATTACACGGCTGTGTGTGATTAATTTCTGGGTTTATTTTTTCTCACGTTTGTAAGGATTGAATTAAATTATGTTATTTTTCATATTCGTATCAATAAATTTCAGTTCTTTTATTAACTTGTGGATTTATTCTATTCTATTTTAAAGGCTATAAAGACATAATAAGTTATTATCAAAAAGAAATAGTATTGATTCCAAAGTGGTCATATTCTCCTGTATCACAACCTTTTATATATGAAAAGTTATTGTGTTTATTTAATTATTATTATTTTGAGGTAATCTGGGAATTACCCTTTGAACAATTCCACATATGTAGATTTATGGGTTTCCTTTTTCATCTTAGGATTCTTGCACCATGAATAACAATTATAAAGTAAGCTTTTCAAAGTACATACATTATGACTCAATTTTCGACTTTTTATATTATTTTCAAAAAATTAAGTCTAGTAAATGCCAAAACACATGCATGAAAGCCTCCTCAATATGTCAAGTTTAATGCGTGAATATTATTTAAAGATTAAAGATTACGATTTTTCTTAAGATTATGGAAATACATTTTGTATTAACATTGTAAGATAGAATCTTACATAGTTTTTTAAATTACGTTGTTGTAATCGTGTCTGCTTAGTATTTGATTATAATTTAATTTGGATTTAGACATTGAAACTAAATTTATATTTCTTATTCCATAGTATAATACCTACGAATTCGGGCTAGACGTTTAAGCGATTATTCATTTTATTGAATAATATAAAAATCATTGAATATATTAATTGTTCTTCATATACGTTACGAACTATTTACATGTTATTCGAACAAATATTAAGATTGTATAATATTTGTAGAAAACTGTATTATGAATTTATCTTAAAGCGATAAAAACAATATATTGATAAAAGATTATTTAGAATAAATAATCTTAATGAAAGCCTTAGTAATTGTAATTACGAAGCTGTGAGTATAAAGAATGCTAAAATCTGATTTCGTATGAAATAATTATGTTTTTTCAAAGTTTTTGCGTTCGGTATGATATAGTGTGTGTGTGTGTGTCATAAAAAGTGAAATAGAGATCGGTTGCTCGTTAGATAAAACAATCTAAACGAAAGCTGATATCCTCGTAAATACGAATTTGTCTATATAAAAAACGTCCAGAACGGAGTTCATATGAAGAAGTTATGAATTTCGCAAGGTATTTTACAGTTTATTCCTCATAAACTGTAAATTAAAAAATAGAACGTGAAGTAGCCAACGAAGTATATCATCCAAATTTCCAAACCAAATTTTACATTTTTAAATTCATATAAAAACATTGTTCATAAAAACCATCTCAGAAAAATCATAAATGTGAAATACAAATCATCATCAAAATATCAGAGTGTCCCAAAATATCTAGAATCATAAACAGCAGGCGAATGTGTACAATCAAGCCTTCATCTTCCCGCGATCCTCAAAAGCACCTGAAATACATTTAATCAACAACTGTAAGCACGAAGCTTAGTGAGTTCTCCAAAATACCACATACAACACAACGCAAAATAAACAGCTATGGGTTATCAGCAACCCTGGAGACTACCCGAAGTCTCAATGGGCAAACAACACGCTTTGTGGGTTATCAGCAACCTTGGAGACTACCCAAAGTCTCAACACACACAGTAACACATATCACAATAATAACACATAGACCCAGCTAGTCATAACATATATTCTACCACACATGTAAGAATAGTGAGGAGACTCACCTCGCACAGATGACTGATAGAACTCACACCCGAACTGCCGGAACTAGACTCCGCCTAATAATTACACCAATTAACCCAAATTAATAATAAAGGTAATTGTCATAATCTACTAATGCCAAGACAACTCTAATCCACATTTAGGGCAAAAGACCGTTTTCCTTTTCACAATTCCTCACAAATCCACTTAAGGCGCAAATGGGTCACAAAGTCAACGAAAGTCAAAATGTGGCCGTACGGAGGGCATAATCTATTCGTTGGGCGGAGAGCGCAAAGGCAAGAAGGATCAAACTCACAACTGCCTACGACGGGTGTAGCAAGGAGTACGCTCTGTGTACGTAGCTGATCCCAAAACTTCATTTTTATGGTCTTAATCATTAAGACACTTTATCCAAACCCCATATCTGACTCTAAAAGGTGTCTTAATCCATAAAGTCTCTGAATTTATGCCTTTGCATGGCTAAAGAGAGCTTAATCCCAAAACTATAACATTTCACTTCACAAAAAACTCCACAACTCCTGCATGGAAGAAAGGAAAAGACTAAGATAACATTTTTATGACTCTAAGCACCCTAAGACGTCTGAAAGCACAGCTCATATGCTCTGGATTATTCCATACTCACAACGATCTAGGTTTTGGGACAAAATAAACTTAAATCAAAGTCTAAACAAGATCTAACAAAACACGATCCAAGGTATGACTTTATACCTTCAAAAGATGAACAAATAGATGTAGATTCTGGATCCAAAAGCTTGAATGCAACACCACCTATTGAATGATCTACCTTCACTGCCAAGAATACTCAAAAATCACTCTCAAGGTTCAAATATCACTCACAAGGGCTAGGGTTTCAATTTTACGGTTTAGAGGATACGATGGATGATCATGAGAAGGTCGAAGGGGATTAAGATGCTTAAATATGGGACACACCCCTAAAAATTTAGGGTTTAAGGTATACACGAGTACGCCCGGCGTACCCACATGTACGTCCAGTGTACTCCTTCTCTGCAACGGCTTCCAAGCTGAATTACACCCGACATACCAACCTGGTACGCCCATCGTAAGGGACTTATTTGCAAGCATTTAAAATATAAAGGATTGAAATGAAAATACTTGACATCGGGTGTTATAATTCTCCCGTACTAGAATCAGACTTCGTACTCGAAGTCAACCTATGCGAAGAGATCAGGATAATGCTCTCGCATCTCATCCTCGGGCTCCCATGTCCATTGAGAGCCTTTTCGATGTTTCTACTGAACTTTAACCAAGTTCACTACCTTGTTCCTCAAGGTCTTCACCTTCCTATCCAGAATCGTCATCGGCCTCTCGATGTAATTCAGGCGACCATCGACCTGAATGTCCTCCAAGGAACCACAACCGACTCATCGACTACACACTTCTTCAACTGGGATACATGGAAGGTGTTGTGAATCTGACTCAACTCCTCAGGCGGCTCTAATCGATATGTCATCTTTCCTACTCGGGATATCACTCTAAAAGGACCAATAAACCTGGAGCCTAGCTTGCCCCGTTTCCTGAATCGGATAACACCTTGCTAAGGTGATGCCTTCAGAAGCACCAAATCTCCAACCTGAAACTGCAACTCAAAGCGTCTCCGATCCGCGTAACTCTTCTGATGGCTCTAGGCCATCAGCAACCTCTGCCTGACCTGCTGAATAAGCTCTGTCGTCTTGAGCACTATTTCACTGCTCCTTATGACCCTCTATCAGAACTCTCCCCAACAGATAGGAGTCCGACACTTCCTCCCATATAGAAGCTCAAAGGGAGGCATTCTACTGTTGGCATGATGGCTATTGTTGTAAGAAAACTCAGCCAAAGGAGGGTAGGAGTCCCAACTCCCACCAAAATCAATGATGCAGGCCCGTAACATATCCTCAAGTGTCTGAATAGTCCGTTCACTCTGCCCGTCTGTCTGCGGATGATAGGCGGTACTGAAATACAATCGGGTGCCAAAATCTTCGTGAAAACTCTTCCAAAATCTGGAAGTAAAACGAACATCCTGATCTGACAAAATAGAAGTTGAAAATCCTTGACGAACCACTACTTCTCAAACATAAATCTCGGCCAACTTCTTGGTAGAAGAGCTCTTACTTACGGCTAAGAAGTGAGAACTCTTCATCAAATGATCAACTATCACCCAGATAGCATCAAAGCCCTTCACAATCTTTGACAATTTTGTAATGAAATCCATCGTGATCTGCTCCCACTTCCATAGTGGGACCTCCAAGGGCTGCAACTTGTCGTGAGGGTTCTGGTGTTTGGCCTTGACCTTCCGATAGGTCAAGCACCACTCCATGAACCAGGCCACGTCCCTCTTCATATACGGCCACCAATAGTTATGTTTTAGGTCAAAATACATCTTTGTAGCCCCCAGATGAATGGAGAATCTCGACTTGTGGGCCTTATCCATCAACACTCGTCGACCCCACCAGTATACGGTTCCCAAACCCGTTCATGAAGAGTCAATAACCCCCTGTTGTCGATACCAAAGGCTGAAACCTGGCTGACCACCCGCTCACTCTTCCAATTCTACTCCTTGATGACCTTCGACTACGCATCTTGGATAATCTCCAAGACTAGAATTATCACAGTCATCCTCAAATATACATCCTAAATCGGGGCACGGACTGCCCTCTGGCTCAAGGCATTGGCCACCATATTCCCCTTGCATGGGTGGTACAGAATCTTGCAATCATAATCTTTTACTACATCAAGCCACCTCATCTGCCTCATGTTCATATTAGGTTGATCCATAAGATATTATAGGCACTTGTGGTCTGTGTAGATGGTATACTGAACCCCATAAAGATAATGGCGCCAAATCTTGAGGGAGAAAACAACCGTCCCTAACTCAAGATCAAGGGTGGGATACTTCGCCTCATAAGGCTTCAACTGCCTCGAAGCGTACACAATCACATGCCCTCTCTGCATCAGCACAACACCTAATCCTGAAATGGATGCATCACAATAGACCATAAAATCCTTAACTCCCTCAGGCAGGGCAAGTACCAGCACTTGCAAAGTCTCTGCCGAAGAGTCTCAAATGATGCCTACTACTCAGGCCCCCATCTAAACACAACATCCTTCCTTGTCAACTTAGTGAGAGGGAAGAGCATCTTAGAGAAGTCTCAAATGAATCTCCGATAATATCCCGCCAAACCGATGAAACTCTGAATATCAGATGGAGACTTTGGAACCTCTCATCGCATAACCGCCTATATCTTGGTTGGGTCAACCAAGATACTGTTATGATTGACGAGGTGCCCCAGAAACTGAACCTCACGCAACCATAACTCTTACTTGGAGAATTTGGCATACAACCTATCCGTCCGTAAAACCT